CCGCTGTGTCTTTGTTTTAAACTATTTTCGACGACGAAATAGAGCAAAATCAGACAATAGTGTTATAGTCAGACAATGTAAGTCACTTAATATTAACTTCTTGTTTATTGAATTGTATTTGTATTAAATCAGTATCACATTTACAAACTCCCTTCAAAATAATTAAAACTGTCACTCATCTTAGTTTATCTCGATCTCACATTTATAATCAACGAAGCTCTCTACACTGCGTAATGAATCTCTTATTTACATCCTGTCTACACTTTGCTTATGAAAGGATTTGTGAGATATGTCTGTGATACATTACTCAACGCTGCAAAAACACGTAGAAACCTTTGAAGCTCCCCTGAGCGCAATCACAAGTATGATGATGATCGGGTCAGTCGCACTGATGCTCCTAAAAAAATTTCAATGCGACTGAAATGGTCGCACTGTAGAACCCTGATTTGGTCAAAATGAAGAATGTTCTACTCAGTTACCAGTTGTCAAAACATTTTTGTGATGAAACATCATGCAAATGTATTTTCATATTATGAAAAATAGTCTGACCAAAAAAAATAAAAAAATATATATATAAACAATAAAACAAAAGGCCTAGACTAGCATTTGGTCATTTTATTTGGTAAGATAGCTTTACCTGAAGTGAAGAGCTTTCCAGCACCTGAGAAAACCACGACACGACACTCTGAGTCTTGAGCTATCTGACTGAAGCAGTCAACCATTTCACTGAAGGTCAAACAAAAATTAACACAGACATACAGTAATTCAGCAAAATAACATGTACATCGCTAACCCTTTCATGACACGATTGCAACTGAGATCAATGTGCACTTTAAATTCCAATCTAATACTGCCATTCAAATAAGGACATTTTACCATAGAAATGGCATAAAATGGGCACTCTTTCCAGCATAAATGATGAGATATACATTTTAATGCTTAAAATATTACTATTAATGTCATTCTACTCTTGTGAAATGATTGCTTGCGAAGCATTTCAGGAAATCTTAAAGGAAATAAAATGAAATAAATGAATTATTCATAGCATTTGATATAGACATGGACGTCATACAGCCAGTATGCCTTGTTCATTGCATTGCGTTTCTCCGGGCGGCAGAACTCGACGTGAGTGATGGGCTCAGCTGGCCGGGTGACTGACAGGGTTGTGAAGGGGGGTGTCGGTCCTCCTGATGAAGACATTCCTCTAACAGCGTTCAGGAACGGTATCAACAGAACCTGTTCTAATCACAAAACACAGACCAAATACACAGGTTTACACTTCTAACATAGGACACAGCTGTCAAAATTAAACTACTAAACAGGTGAGTAATAGTTGATTACTGACTAAATGCCCTAATACATATGGATCTGGATTTATAGTTCACACAGGTGTTCTAGCACTTTAAATTCAATTCACAAATTGCCATTAAAATAAGGGCATTTTAAGCAAATCGTGGTGAGGAATTTGCTACACGTTAAACATTTGGAACACTACACTACACGTTAAACATTTGGAACACTACACTACACGTTAAACATTTGGAACACTACACTACACGTTAAACATTTGGAACACTACACTACACGTTAAACATTTGGAACACTACACTACACGTTAAACATTTGGAACACTACACTACACGTTAAACATTTGGAACACTACACTACACGTTAAACATTTGGAACACTACACTACACGTTAAACATTTGGAATCATAAAAATGTCTTAAAGTTGAAATGAATCATATGAAATCATTCTAATATGCTGATTTAGTGCTCAAGAAACATTTCTCATTATCAATGTTGAAACCAGTTTTTACTGCTTTTTTGAAACCATTCAAAAGAAGAAACTAATCATTTTAATCAGCAAAGATGCATTAAATTGATTAAAAATTACATTTATATTGTTACAAAAGATTTCTATTTCAAATGCTTTCATTGAACACAGAATCTATCGCAGAAAGAAAGAAAAAAAAACATTGCGGTTTTAAGCAGCAAAAACTGTTTTGAACACTGAACAACCATTATTAATAACTGAGCACCAATAATAATTGATAACAATTGAACACCAAATCAGCATATTAGAATGATTTCCGAAGGATCATGTGACACTGAAGACTGGTGTAATGGCTGCTAAACAATCAGCTTTGCATCACAGGAATAAATTACATTTTAAAATAAAATATAGTAAAATAGAAAACAAACATTATAAATCCTGTAATAATACATCAAAAAGGACTTCTTTCAAAAACATAAAAAACATAATTATTCCAAACTTTTGACCTGTAGGTCAAAGGTTACACAGTTATAAGGTTATTGATATTAAGGTATTATTTAATATTGAACAATAGAATGTTTATTACCCTATGAAATATGTTTCAATGATCACAAATACACACACACATACATATTATGGATTGTTTAGCTTATACAATTGATTGTTATCTTAGATAGTTTATGTAAGGTAATGACAAAAATGTAGGCTATGATTTATATGTCCAAATATTAATCGTAATTAAACGTAAATAATATGATGACATATCTGCACAATTTATGCATTATTATATTCTTTATTTATACACAGTTTCCAACTGGCAATTACGACGGCATGGTATATCGTTTGATTTGTCCATAATATAAATGTAATTAATTCTACACTTAAAGAGAGAAATTACATATTATTGCGTATGTGACCTTTCACCCAGTTAACTGAACTGAACCCAGTACCGTGTGTGTGCTGCAGTGAGACAGTCAACATGTTTCCATTACAACCTCAAACTGTCATTAGAATCAAATGGTTTAAAAAAAAACGAACACAACTTATATATTGTATTCTTAGTTACAGGTTTCATTCGTCGATCCAGCGTTCACTACTTAATCACAATAACATTCATATAAATAGTGAATATTGTTCAGTTGAGTATTTGAACACATGCAGCTAGATGATCAAACTATGTGACTTACTTCTGAACGCAGATCTCAACGCATACGCCATTGGTGCCCTTTGACCAATATATTCAAAATCACAGAGGCGGAGACCTGTTTATTAAGACTATCACAAAAATCACTTCAAAAAGGTGGTTTATATGTTTAAGCGGTAATCGTCACAATAAAACGAAAGCACGTTTAATATCTGACTCTGGGCTCTGTCTTTAAATAGGGTTGTTTTATTATGCAGCGTTTATTTTTAAATGTGACGTCACCATGTTTTCCTCTGACGTACGGTGGCTCTTTAAAGGGGTCATATGATGCGATTTTTTTTTCTGGGAAAACAGCTTATCATTTCATGAAGCAACAGCATGTCGGCTAACATTTTTGCCATTAAACATTTGTTTGGATTGATCTGTTTTGAGTTTACACCCAACAATAATGCTATTTTATATGAGAAGTCATGGACAATTTTGCGACGGGTAGAATTCAGTTTACGACACCTCTCATTCATTGGCTGTGTCCGAAATCGCACCCTATACCCTCATTCACTATTCCCTACATTAGGTCACTAATTCAGTTCACTAGAAGGAGTGAATGAAAACGAGTAGTCAATTCGGACACTGAGTGCACCGGAAGGAATGCCGCTTTTGCATAGTTATCTTGAACTCTGTCACGGAAATTATGTATAAACCCTAATCAAACAATTTAATAATCAATTTACAATGAATTTATACCCGTGTTGTACATTATGCTGTACGCCATGGATGAGCGCTTTGTAAAAATGAACGGCTTGATTATTCAGCTGCGGGCGTTATCTTCTGGCGAGATGCGGGAATTCATTCGGCGCGTGACTCTCACGGTGCATTATGGGCATTCTTTAGCCGTTGAGCGTGCAGCAGTTGTACACTCGTTTTTGCAGTGCATTGTGGGATTGAATGAGTGCACTCGAGAAGGTCCACTATGGTGTCGGACACCACTAAAAATGGCTGTTCCCTCAAATAGTGCCCTATTTAAGGGTATAGGGGGTGATTTCGGACACAGCCATTGTTATGGTATCCGTAAACTGCCATTGACTGTCGCACAACTCTGACAGAAATTCAACGACGTCAAGACTATAATATGATTGGTCATCAAGGCACACGTGATCCAAGTTGGCCGTAATGCTTTCTCCAAAGGTAGAGCTGCGGACCTTGGTGTCTCCCGATAATAAGACCATCTCTGATCGAAACTCTTTTAGAGTGCTACGACCGTCACTCATCATTTGCGAATACCACTCAAATTAATGTGCTGTTCAGTGCTGTAAAAGGAATCTACGGAGCTCCTAAAGGGACATGGTGGCGGAAAA